TCTCGTGACACTCCCATCTATGGGCTAGCTTTTTGCCACTGCTCGTGCACTGCATTTAGCGATTCAAAAAAACCGGTGCAGCCATAGAGCGCCCGATGCCCAGACAGCGTCGAGCGGTCCATCGATGCGGGCGTGGACGCTGCTGAGCCTCGCGTGCGCCGCAGCGCTGGCGCCGCCGCAGGCTGCCCGCCGCCGCTCGTCGAGGCTGCGCGCTGCCGCGCCCAACGACGACCCGGGCCCCAGCGACGCCGCCTTGCTCGACGTCGCGCTGTCGAGGCATCTCCACGCTGGCATCTGGGCCGCGACCTTCGACGGCGGCGAGGAGAACCGCATCGCGCTCGACGCCGAGGGCCGCGCGTCGGCGGTGCGCGATCTCTACGCGGACGGCGGCGGCAGCGGCCGCGGCGGCGCGCGGTCGGGGCTCTGGAGGATAGAGACGGTCGACGGCGAACCGACGGCGTGCGCCGTGACCGTCGTCCTGGGCAGGTACAGCCTGCAGGCCGTCGCGGCGGCGAACTCGACGACGCTCCGGGGGACCGTGTTGGAGGGCGAGGTCGACGGCGACTTCGTCGGCCGCTTCGAGATGGCGCTCGCGAGCCCCGCGGCGAACGCGTCCGCGATCGACGAGCGACTGGCCGCCGCGGAGGCGAAGCTCGCGCGGCGTCCGGCGCCGCCGCCGCGCTACACTCGCGCGGCCTTCGCGGGCCGGCGCTGGCTGCTGGACGCGGTCTTCGAAAACGAGCCGGCGCAGTTCGTCCTCGATCTGCGAGAAAACGGCGAGTTCGTCGACACGGCGGAGCGCGGGCGGCTCGGCGGCAACTGGGGCGTCTTCGACGACGGCGCCGCGCGGAAGGCGGCCGACGGCGCGGGCACGCACGTGTGGCTCTGGATCCGGCGGTCCAAGTGTCGGGGCTACAACCTCCACGGCGACATGCGCCTCCACGGCAAGCCGTCCTACGGCGGCGGCGCCTCGCTCCAGCGCGAGCTCGCGGCGCGGTCCGGGGGAGACGCGCCCGCGCCGGACCGCGTCGCCGGCTTCGTCATCTACGGCGACATCCCCGACATGGAGTACTCGGCGCTCATCGGCACGTTCGAGCTGACGCCGGCCGCGGCGCTGCCGCCGTCGCTCCTCGGGCGGCTCCCCATCCCGAGCGCCTGGGGGAGCTCCCTCACTTGAACGACGATGGGAAGCTCCCTCACTTGAAATAAACATCAGCTTCTGAAACTCCCAGCACATAACTTGACGGAGCCATCCCGCCACTCGGCGTTCCCCGCCGCACTATGGTGGGACCATTTCCGCGCCGCCGGGCCGTCGTGGCCTGCGCGCTCCTCGCGGCGCCGCGCCTCGCCGCGGCGCAGCGGGCGCGGCGGCTCCAGAAGGGCCCCAACGGCGGGAAGAAGCCGCCGCCCGGCGGCCCGCCGCCGGCCCACGACGACGGGTGGGAGGAGGACGGCGACGAGGACGAGGAGTGGGACGACGAGGAGTGGGACTGGGACGACGAGGAGTGGGGGGACTGCGAGGATTGGGACGAGGGCTGCGAGGATTGGGACGAGGGCGAGGCCTACGGCTACGGCCACGGCGGCTACGGCTACGGCCACGGCGACGAGTGGCGGGACGAGGGCGAGGAGTGGCGCGGCGGCAAGGAGGGGAACCTCGAGGGCCATGAGTGGTGCCTCTGGGAGGTCACGGCGGAGTTCGTCAACTTCGGCGTCAACGGCGGCCGCTGCTTCGGCTGCTCCGGCATGGCCGACGAGGACGAGCTCGTGGCCCACTGCCGCGAGCTGTGCCTGAAGGACGCGGACTGCGTCGCCTTCGAGACCGCGCCGGACGGCGTCGATTTCTACGAATCCGAGTTCGAGGGGAAGCGCTACTACCTCGACGGCTTCGACCACAACGGCGTCAACTGCTGCCTCGAGCAGAGCAGGAAAAGGGTGCGAAATTCCCAACTTCAAAGGCTCCTATCTCGGCCGTTTTCCACTCGTTTCGGCTGATTTTTGGACGAGCGATCATCTCTTGGAACGGCCTCGAAGCATGGATGCTTTTTCCGGAACGCGCGCGCGCGGAACACTCACGTTGAAGCGACGTTGAATCATCCTTTTCCTGCCCAGGCCTCGAGCACCACACGTCGTCCAACAAGGGCTCTCCAAATTCCTGGCAGAGGAGCGGCGACGTCGACGGCGACTGCCCCGCGGAGGTGTCGCTGTGGACGACGCGGGAGCTCGTCGAGGGCGAGGCCGAGTTCTGCGACCGCGACTACGGGCTGGATTTGGGCGTGTGCACGGCCTACGCGGAGTACGACTTCGACGATTCCGAGGACGCGAACGTCGCCCGGAGGGACCTCTACCTCGAGCGGGGCTGCGCCGCGATCGTCGACGGGTTCTACTACTTCATCCTGGCGATGTGTTTCCTCGCGGGCGCCCTCGTGACGTTCCTGGCCGCGGCCTGCTGGATTTTTGACGCCCTGCAGGACCAGGAGCGGAAGTCGCGGCTCCGGGCGGGCACGTGCGTCGTCGTCGTCGCGTCGGCGCTGGTCTGGTTCTTCGGCCTGCTGCCGGCGGTCTACTGGCTCCCTCCGGTCTACGAACTCTCCTACGCGGGCGCCGGCGTCGGGCTCGTCTTCGGCCTCGCGGCGCACGCGAAGCCCGTGAAAAAGCGCCTGCTGCCCCGGGTCGACGGCAAGACCTACTGCGTCTCGCCGGCGGGGGACGTGGCGCGGGTCGAGGCGGAGATGGTGCCGGCCATCGAGGCCGTGCCCATCGACCGGAGCCCCGTCGTCGTCGACGGCCGGCGCGAGCTCGACGGCGCCCACGACGAGGAGAAGGAGGAGCGGTCGCCGGTCGCGCGGTCGCTCACGCCCTCCAAGGCCATCATGGCCGAGTCCCTCAAGTCGGTGCCGCGCGCCGGCGACGACGAGTACGACGTCTTCATCTCCCACTGCAAGAAGCTGCCGACGTCCGAGGACCGCGCGATCTGGCTCGCGGATCTGTTCGAGGGCGAGGGCCTCAAGGTCTTCTTCGACCGGAGCGACCTGCTGGAGATCAGCGAGGCGGCCCTGCGCGACGCCGTGCGCGCGTCGCGCGTCATCGTCACCGTCGTCGACCCCGTGACCTTCGACAGCGTCTGGGTCGCGAACGAGAACGCCTGGGCCAAGGACCTCGGCAAGCCCATCGTCGCGTTCTACGACCGCGACCGCCACGCGTGGGACGAGATCAGCAAGTGGGTGCCCCTCCACCCGCACGTCTTCGCGCGCCAGGCCATCCCCTACACGAAGGACTACCGCACGGAGGCCAAGGACAAGCTCCTCCGCCAGGTCGACCTCGCGCGCCGCGACGCGACGGTCCGCGGCCACGCGGCGCTCAAGGGGCTCCACGCCGCGGGCTCCGCGACCTTCTAAAGGCACCTCGATCGAAGCGCTCGAGTCGGCCGTTACGCCGCGCGGGCCCGTCGTCGCCGCGCCCGGAGGACAGTCTCCCCCCGGGCGCCGCGAGTCATCTCGCCCGGCGCGGTGTTCCGCGGCCTACTTGAGCTTCTGGAGCGACTTCTTGATCTCCGGCACGGCGCGGTGGCCGTACTTGGAGAAGAGGTCCTTCTGACTGCCAGACCAGACCTGCGTCTTCGCGCCGTCGGTCGTCGCGTCGATGGTGACCTTGATGGGGTACGCGTCGACGCGGTTCGGCGACACGTCCGCGCCGGGGAACTCGTCGAGGATCGCCTGTTTGGCAGCAGAGAACTCCTGCTGCCCCCCGTCTCAGTTCTTGCAGTAGGTCACCAGGAAGCTCGGCGCCATCTTGCTCGACGACGGCGACGACGACTCGCGGAGCACGTGGAGCGAGGCGGCGGTGGCGAAGGTCGACAGCAGCAAAGCGATCGGTTTCATGCAAGGCGTGCGCGCGACGAGCAGCGGCGGCGCGCGACGGTGCGGGCGTCGAGCGGGCGCGGAGCCTCGGAGCGCCGAGCGGCAGCTCGCCGCTAGGCTAGGAGAGGTTAACAGCTAGAGGGCCTACCCGGGGGGTTTGCGGCACCAGGCCTCGCGGCACTGGGACTCCAAGCCTAGCCGCGACCGCCGCACCGTCAGCCTCGCCACAGCGAGCTTGGCAGCCACCCTCGTCGTCGCGCGACACTGCACGCCACGCGTCGACGACGATGGCGTCCGACGCCGACGAGCGCAGAAAAAAGTGGCGCTGCGACGTCGCCGCGTCGTCGATCTTCGCCGCGGGCCAGGGGTCGCCCGTGCCGTTCCTCATGGCGGCGCTGCCCCTCGCCGGCGCCGCGGCGACTTTGACCATATGCATCCCCGGCGAGCTGCGGCGCGTCGTGCTGCGGTCCTGCGCCATCTCCGCCGCGGCCTACGGCGCGACGCGCCACCTGCTGCCGGTCATCGGCGCCAAGGTGCCCGCGGCCAAGTACGGCTGCGACCTCCTGAAGCGGCCCGCGCGCGAGCCCATCGGTGCCGCGGACAAGACCGTGCCCGAGTCGCTGGGCCTCGTGAGCGGCGTCTGCTTCGTCCTCGCCCTCGTCGTCACGCAGAGCTTCCAGAAGGAGCAGTCGCCGGAGTACTCCGCCGCGATGCTCAGCGTCGTCTTCGCGGTGCTTCTGGGCTTCGCGGACGACGTGCTGGACCTCGAGTGGAAGTACAAGTACGTCCTGCCGCCGCTCATGTCGCTGCCGCTGCTGAGCGCCTACGGCGGCGGCACGACGGTCGCGCCGCCGCGGGTGCTGCGGGAGCTGCTCGTGCGCGGCGCGGACCTGAGCGCCGCGGGCGCGTTTCTCGACGCGGCGCTCTCGGCGCTCGGCGGCGGCGTCGACGCCGCGGGGCGGGGGCTCGTGGACCTCGGGCTGGCCTACAAGGTCTACATGGTGCTGCTCGCCGTCTTCTGCACGAACGCGATCAACATCTACGCGGGCGTCAACGGGCTCGAGGCGGGCCAGACGTACGCGACGGGCGTCGCGATCTTGATCATGAGCGCCGTCGAGCTCGGGCGCGCCGTCGGCGACGACGGCGTCTTCGACGAGGCGGAGAACGCCATGGCGCGGCACCATCTGTTCTCCGTGACGCTCATGCTGCCGTTCTGCGCGACGACCCTGGCGCTGCTGAAGTCGAACTGGTTCCCCGCGGAGGTCTTCGTCGGCGACACGTTCACGAATTACGCGGGCATGACGCTGGCCGTCGTCGCCATCCTGGGGCACTTTCCCGTCATGCTCATGGCGTTGATGGTGCCGCAGCTGCTCAACTTTCTGATCAGCGTGCCGCAGCTCTTCAAGCTCCGGCCGTGCCCGAGGCACCGGCTCCCGACGTTCGACGAGGCGACGGGCTACCTGCGCTTCTCGCGCGTCAACGACCGGGCGACGACGGTGCCCGACGGGGCGAACATCATGAACCTGACGCTCATCAACGCCGCGCTCCGCGCGTGCCGGGGTCTGACGGAGCCCGCGCTCGCGGCGCTCCTGCTCGCGCTCCAGGCCGCGACCTGCGCCGCGGCCGTCGCGCTCCGCTTCTGCCTCGTCGGCCGCGTCTACTGACGGAATTTTGTTAAAACACGAGGGCGATAGAAAAGGGGAGGGGGGCTGGGCGCCTCACGCGCTCACGCGCGCGGGCAGCGCCGCGTCGTAGGCGACGGGCGCCTGGGAGAGCGTCTTCGTGATGGACGAGTCGCGGCGGAGGTGGCGGAGGTGCTCGTGGCCCGTGCCCGGGACGTGGAGGTCCTCGTGGCCCTTGCCCTCCTTGATGAGCTCGAGGTAGGACTCGTGCGTCTCGTGGATGACCTTGAGCGCGTAGGCCGCGGGCAGGCACCGCTCCTCGAAGGCGAACTTGTTCGGCGGCTTGCCGTCGGGGATCTTGTAGGTCCGGAACCACTCGCGGATGAGGCCGACGGTGCCCGGCAGGAGCCGCTCGACGTCGTCGACGTCGTTGAGCTCCGACGCCCAGCGGTCCTCGGCGTCGATGGCGACGACCTTCCAGTCCGTCTCGTCGTCGTCGATCATGGCCAGCACGCCCAGCACCTTGACGGCGCGGATCTCGCCCGTGCGGACCTGGCGGAGGCCGATCTCGCAGACGTCGAGCGGGTCGTTGTCGCCCGGGTAGCCCGTGTCCGGCGACGTGTGGCGCGGGTCCTCCCAGGTCCGCGGGAAGCAGCCGTAGTTGAAGAAGATGTCGCCCTTCTTGAACTCGCGGAGCACGCCCTTCTTCGTGTCCTGCTTGATCGGCGTGACGTGCTCGTTCGTCGCGACCTCGAACTTCTTGCGCGTGCACTTGGGGATCTCGCAGACGAAGTTGAAGGTCGGCGTGCTCGACTCCGGCGCGCCGTCCGCGGCGACGAGGGGCACGTCGTGCCAGAGGCTCAGCTCCTTCGTCGACCCGGACCGGCCCGCGGCGCGCGGCGCGTCCAGGACGTGGACGCGGTAGTCCGTCGTGTTCGCGGAGCCGCGCTCGAGCACGAGCGTGTTGAGCTCGTCGAGGCGCGCGTCGTGGGCCTCGGCCTTGCTCAGCCGCGGCGAGCCCGGCTCCTCGAGGGGCTCGGCGTCGCTACCGCGCCGGTCGCGCCGCCGCTGCTTGAGGAGCACCGCCAGGGACACGGCGACGGCCGCGGCGCTGATGGCCGTCGTGATGTGCTCGGCCTTGGGCATGGTGGTGTGCTGCGACGCGCTGCGACGCGACGGGACTGAGGCTTCGGGAGGTTCAGCAGGCGCCCACGTCGCCTCTGTGAATTTTGCGAACCTTCAGATCATGCAAGAGCCGCCCGGGATAAATCCCGCGGTACCTCATGCCGGATTCTTCGATCGCGGGCCCGGCACCCACCCACCCACCTCCTGGCCAATCAGGGACCTCCGTTTCGTTAGTTGCCTTCAAGTTGCCGCTCGCAAAATCGCCACAACGCGCGCGCGATTCCGCGCGCGCGCTCTCTCGTGTCGCGGAGCTGCGCGGTCCAATCTCCGCTTTGCGATGAGAACGGGCACCCGCGCCGCTCGACTCGCCGCGGCGAGAAGCGGCGCTTGCCCAGAGACGACGATAGCGGCGTGAAGACACGTCGCCGAGGCGCCGCGCGACCGTCAGCCGCGGCACCGCGGGTCATGACCGCGCGCGCGCGCGCGCGTTACAAGTACCCATCAGTACACTGTAGATTTTCCAAACCAGGCCTCCGGACCCACCCACCCACCTCGCCATGAGGTTCGAATCTTTTGTCCGTGGGTGGCTCGTGGATCATGTCCTGTATTATTATTGTGCAACCGTTTGGGGCAAAGGTTGAGTCTGCGCCGCGGCGGCCGCCGCTCGCGCGACGCTTCCGTCGACGTGAAGTAACACGCGGCCGTCTCGACGCGACGCACAACCACAACAAGCCGGCACCCCGGCCGAATCGACGACCGTGGACTCGCGGTTCGCGTAAATTATTCGAGAGCGCCGCGGCGGGAAAATATGACTACATGATGTTGCCCGTGTCGTCGTCGACGTCGTAGGGGTAGCTCGGGTAGTCGTCGACGCTCTCGGGCGCGTCGTCCTCCGGGACAGCCGTTGACCTACAAAGAAGAAGGACGTCGCGCGGCGCGAATCGTCTCGCGGCGTCGGACGCGGCGCGCGCGCGGATAGGAGCTACAGCAGTCCCAGTCGATGTCGGACGCGCAGAAGATCATCGAGAGGTACGAGGGCGCGGGCGACACGGGCGCGACGTTTTTCGGCGGGCTCTCGTCGAGGACCATGAACGAGCGTCGAATGTCGCGCCTGAGCTCGACGACGAGCGGATCGTCGCGGTGGTCTTCTTTGAGGTTCAGCGCCTTCAAATCCAGTTCGCCCAGGCCTTCGACGTCCGGCGAGACGGCCGCGAGACGGCGCGGCGCGTCGGGTTTCGCGCGAGGCGTCTGGTCGTCGGTTTTTTGCGTTTTTTTCAGCTCGCGATAGTACATGAGTGCGCGGCCCCGGCGTCGTCGCGGTGCGGTCGACGACGAAGACGGACGAGGTGTGCAAATGACCAAAAGATGACCGCTGGCGCCGCGCGCCGACGTGAGAACCGGTGTCTGGGCCTCTGTGGCAACAGACCTCGTTTGTGGCCGCAGCTCGATCGAGCGTCTCCACAGCCCGCCGCGCGCGCCGCCGAGCCGCGCCGCTCGCAGCCGCCGCCGCGCCCGAGCGTCGAGGCCGCCCCGACTCGTCCCGGACACCCGCGCGACGCGCCCGCCGCCGCGCCGCCGCTGCGCGAGCCACAAACACACGGAAACAACCGCCGCGCCCGCGACGGCCATGGAGGAGCTCTTCTACGGCAAGAAGAAGGCGGAGAACATGCCGAGCACGCCGCCGCCGCCGAGCGCGTGCGACGCGGAGAAGAAGGACTACGTGCTCCGCGAGCTGTCCAAGGTCTACGCGTCGGTCTTCCGCCCCGTCGAGGAAGCCACAAAGTTCGACGTTTTTTATTCGTCGCTCCTCAACGAGGCCGAGTTCCGGACGCCGCCCATGGTGCTGCTCATCGGCCCCTACAGCGTCGGCAAGACGACGTTCATCGAGTACCTGCTGGGCAAGAGCTTCCCCGGGGAAAGGGTGGGGCCGGAGCCGACGACGGACCGGTTCACGGCGGTCATGTACGGCGAGGACGAGCGCACGATCCCCGGCAACGCGCTGACGGTGGCGCCGAACTCGCCGTTCCGCGCGCTCCAGCGCGAGGGCAACAACTTCCTGAGCCGCTTCGAGGGGTCCATGTGCACGAGCCCGCTCCTCGAGCACCTCACGCTCATCGACACGCCGGGCGTGCTCTCCGGCGAGAAGCAGCGCGTCGCGCGCAACTACGACTTCGACGTCGTCGTCCAGTGGTTCGCGGAGCGCGTGGATCTGATCATCCTGCTCTTCGACCCCTTCAAGCTCGACATCTCGGACGAGCTCATGTCGGTGATCAAGGGCTTCAAGGGCCACGAGGACAAGGTCCGCGTCGTGCTCAACAAGGCCGACAGCGTGAGCCAGCAGCAGCTCATGCGCGTCTACGGCGCGCTCATGTGGTCCCTGGGCAAGGTGCTCAACACGCCCGAGGTCTGCCGCGTCTACGTCGGGTCGTTCCACGACGAGGAGCTGCGGGACCCGGACACGGCGCCGCTCCTCGCCGCGGAGATGTCGGACCTGCTGGCGGACCTGCGGGACCTGCCGCACCAGTCGGCGATGCGCCGCGTCAACGAGCTCGTCAAGCGCGCGCGGCTGCTCAAGGCGCACGCGTACCTGCTCGACCACCTCCGCGCGCAGATGCCGTCGGTCTACGGCTTCGACAAGAAGAAGAAGGAGCTTCTGGACACGATGCCGGCCCAGTTCCGCACGGTCTGCCGCGCGCGGGGCCTGAGCCCCGGCGACTTTCCCGACATCGGCAAGTTCACGACCGTCGCGCGCGAGATCGACTTCACGGAGTTCCCGAAGATCGCCGGCGGCCGCCTCCGCAAGGGCAAGGCCATGACAGACCTCGACCACGCGTTGAACGTCACGATCCCGGGCCTCATGGAGTTCCTCCCGCGCGGCAGGCGCGACGACGACCCGAAGCCCGAGGCCGAGCCCGTCGCAGACGCGGAGCCCGTCGCCGCGCCCGAGGCCGTCGTCCTCGAGACCGTCGCCAAGTCCTAGGATCATGCCCGTAACTTTTTACGCGCCGTCGACGTAGCGCGCGGACCGCTGGGCCTCGAAGACGAGGAGCGCGGCGAGCGCCGTGGCCACGTGCCACGCCGCGTGGAGCTGGAGCACCGACTCCGGGTCGCAGAGCGACGCGAAGCCGTGGCGCGGCTGGTCGACGGACTGGCAGACGAAGGCGACGAGGAGCAGGCCGAGCGCCGCGGCGAAGCACGCGCGCCCCCGCGCGTCGTAGCGGGCCGGCCGGCGCCAGGCGTCCGCGACGACGAAGGGCAGGAGCGACCCGACGAAGCCCAGGAGCTCGACGCGCTCGCAGGCCTCGTCCGCGTAGTAATGGTGGCAGAGCGGCCAGAGCGCGGCGCAGAGCGCCGCCTGCGCCGCGGCGAAGGCGCCGCCGCTCGCCGCGGCGCCGCCCGACCGCTCCCAGGTCTGGGCGACCTTGTGCAGCGAGAGGAAGGAGAGCACGGAGAACATGCCGAAGACGTCCAGCACGTGCCCGCCGTGGCAGCGGCACGCGTGGTTCCACGTCGTGCCGCAGGCGTGGATCAGGTTCACGACGGCCGACGCGGCCTCGCGGCCGGGCGACGCCGCGAGCGACCCCGGCGGCGCGGCGGCCTTCTTTCGCGCGTCGACGACGGCGCGGCGCGCCATCCACAGGACGACGCCGAAGAAGAGCAAGTCGCTGGACGCGTTGCTCCGCTCGCGGAAGAGGGATCCGGCGCCTACCAAGCATGACGGCGACGATTTCTCATTGTTGTCCCACCCCAAATCTCTCGAAAATCGTCACGGCCACAGGACGCTGCCCGGCGCCGCGGTCGACCTCGCACCAGGGGCCCGGGTCGTCGGCTCTTATGGACGCCATGGTCGATGCAGCCCAGGACGTCGCGTTCCAAGCAGCGTCCATAATGTTCTCTTTCTTGGGAGGGGCAGTCTGATTGGCTGGTTCGGGCAGCGCAGTGCAAGGTGGCGTCAACGTCAGCTCGACGCACCGGTGACAAGATCTTGCTCGTCGCCTCGCGCGCCGTCGTCGTCGACCCGATGGCGGCGGCCGTCGATGCCCTCGAGCAGCTCATCCGCGTCCTCGAGCACCTCTGCGATCCCACGCAACCGGGCTACCAGGAAGCGCAGGCCCAGCTCGAGGCCTGGCAGCGGCAGAACGCGTCGCAGCTCGCCTGCGGCCTCGCGCGCGTCTGGACCGTGCGGACGCTGGACCCGAGCACGCGGCAGCTCGCGGCGGTCATCGTCAAGAACCTGCTGGCCAAGGGCCTCGCCCTCGACGACGCGTCGCTCGCGGAGCTCCGCGGCCACGCGCGCGCCCGCGCCCGTTACATCGCGCGCGGAAGCCTTTTCGAGAGAGCTCGGTAGGTCACGGCGGCGCTCGGCGACCGCGACGTGCTCGTGCGCTCCGGGGCGGCGCTCGTCGCCTGCCGCGTCGCCGACGCCGCGGGGCTGGTGGCCGCGCTCGCGTCGGCCGACGAAGCCTTGGTCGACGGCGCGCTGCGCGCCGTCGAGTTCGCGGCCGAGGAGCGGCGCGTGGCCGCCGCGCCCCCGCTCGTGGACGCTCTGCGGCGCCTCTTCGCCCACGGCGACGGCGGCTGCCGCCGGCGCGCGCTGAGATGCGCCGCGCGCTGCGGCTGGCTCGACGGCGGCTCCGCGGCGCTCCGGGAGCTCAGCGGCCTCGCGGCGGATCCGCACGCGGGCGTGCGCGCCGAGGTGCTGGCCTGCGTCGCGGAGCTGCGGCGGCGCGGCGGCCTCGAGGCCGCGGAGCTCGGCGGCGTCGCGCAGTTCGCGCTCGGCGCGCTCCGCGACGACGACGCGGCGGTCGCGACGGCGGCGTGCGAGGTGCTCCGCGACGTCGCGCGCGCGGCGCTCGAGGGCGACGGCCTCGCGCGGCAGCTGCTGGCCGCGTCGCTGCCCCAGCTCGTGCCGGCGCTGCTCCGGGCCATGCGGCGCACGGTGCAGGACGTCACGGACTTCAAGCGCGACGCGGCGCTCCTCCGCGTCGACGCCGTCGACCGCGCGCCGGCGCCCTTCCACGGCAATGGGCCGGGGTCCGACGACGACGACGCGACGGACGACGAGGCGCTCCTCGGCGGCGGCGACCCGAGCGGCGCGTGGTCGCTGCGGCGGTGCGCGGCGTCGACGTTGGACGCGGCGGCGAAGGCGACGGGCGGTGTGCTCCCCCGCCTCCTGCCGCTGGCGACGCGCGCCTTCGCGGGGGCGCTCGACGACGACGACGCGCGGGGCGGGCCCCGGGGCGGCGGCGCGCCGGCGACGGCGCCGCGGGGCGTCTGGGAGCGCGAGGCCGCCATCCTCGCGGTCGGCGCGGCGGCGGCGCCCGGCGACCCGGCGCTCCGCGGCGCGACCGGCCTCGTCGAGGCGCTGGTCGAGGCGTCGCGGGACCCGCGCTGCGCCCAGGTCCGCGAGATCGCCGCGTGGGCCCTGGGGCGGCTCGCGCCCGCGGTCCTCGACGACGCCTCGGACGACGCCGCGCGCGTCGTCGACGCGCTGCTGGGCGTCGTCGAGCGCGACGACCACAAGCGGTGCCTCGAGGCCGCCTGCTTCGCCCTGGCGTCGGTCTTGGACGCCGTCGGCGACGGCGCGGCGCTCCGGCGGCTCCCGCCGGGCCGGCTGGTCGCCGCGCTCGCCGCCGCGCTCGCGGCCTTCCGCGACCGGCGCCTCCTGGCGCTCTACGGCTGCCTGGGCACGCTCTTCTGGCACGCGGGCGACGGCGCGGACTTTGCGCCCCTCTTCCCGCCTTTCGCGGACCGCTTCGGGGCCTGCCGGCGGAGGGTCGACGCGCCGCACCTCGCGCTCCCGCTCCTCTACTGCACCAAGGGCCTCGCGCACGCCCTGGCGTCGGATCCCAAAAAGGCCGCGGCGGGACACGAGGCGACGTTCCTCTTCGGCGTGGCCGCCGCGTGCGTCGACTTCGCGGCCGCGGGCGTCCGGAGCGGCCGCGAGCACTTCTCGCTGCGCCACGACGACACCGACGCCGACGGCGGCGTGGGCGTCGCGGCGCTCGAGTGCCTCGGCGCCTGCGCGGGCGCTCTGGGCGAAAGCTTCGCGCCCGTGCTCGACGGCGCGTGCCCCGTGCTCGCCGCCGCTTTGACGGCGCCCCACACGCACCCGACGCCCCACCTCTACGCCGCGGCCGCGACGGCGGCGACGTTTATCGGCGACTGCGCGCTGGCCTGCCTCCCGGAAGCGGCGCGGCCGCTAGCGACGCTCGCGCCGTCCGTCGCGGCGCTCGTCGCGCCGTGCTCGCAGCTCGACGCCGTCGCGCCGCCCGCCGTCGTCGGCGCCGCGCGGACGGCGGCGCAGAACGCGCTCTGGGCCGTCGGCGAGCTCGCGCTGGCGTTGCCGGACGCGGCCTTACTGGAAGCGCTCGGCGGCTCCGGCGCCGCGCTCCTCGCCGCCGCGACGGACTTGGACGGGCCCGCCGCGCTCCGCGACCACGCGGCGCAGACGCTGGGCCGCTGCTGCTCGACGCCGACGCTGCGGCGGGGCTTCGGCGTCCTCGACGCGCGCGCGCTCGCCGCGTGGCTCTCGTCGCTCGCCGACTGTTCGCGCCCCGACGCGAACGAGCTCGCGCGGACGTTCCACGGAATCTGCGCTTTGGCCGCGGAGCACCCGCGGCTCTTCCTCGACGCCGACGCCGGCGTCGTGCCCCAGTTCCTCGCGGCGATGGCCTCCTGGCGCCGGACCCACGCGCCCGCGCCGCCGGCCCCGCTCGCGCTCGCGTTCAAGCGCATCCTCGCGGGCCTCGGCGTCGACCTCCGCGACCCGGCCCACCTCACCGGCCTCCGCTCCGCCGAAGACGCCACCTACCTTCGGGCGCTCTACGGGTGACTCGCCTAACCCGCTAGAGCCAACGTGTCTCTCTCCGCGGGCGGCCGGCCCGGGAACTCAGTAGTCCCGGGAAGTGGCCCCTGTAAGTCACAGAAGTAGTCATGTGCAGTAGGCACTTCAGTAGGCTCACAGGCCCCGGGTGCAAGTGCATCAGCAACGTCGGCTCAGTTCCCCACACAAAGAGGATTCCTCGCACGCGGCGCTGGACGACAGCAGCCCGGGTTGCAAGGACCGGTGCGGGCGCGGTCCGGCGCAGCATCGCGTTCGGTGCGCGGCGCGCCGCCCATGGCGCCCGTGAAGCTCATCCTCCACTTCGACATCAATCAGACCTTGATCCTCGAGGACAAGGCCGGCGGCGACTCCTTCGAGGACGCGCTGAACCTCATCGTCTGCAAGAGCGCCTTCGTGCGCATCAAGGGCGGCGGGGGCAGTGCGCAGGAGGCGAAGGAGGCGACGAGCGTCGACCAGCTCGAGTGGATGAACGGCCACCCCATCGACGGCTCCGCGGTCGACCCCAACAAGGTCGTGTGCACCGGCTGGGACTGGCCGCCGGGCTGCGTGCCCTTCCACCGCGTCGCGCTCCTCAAGGGCGTCGGCCGCGCGTTCACGGAGAAGGGCAACCCGGGCCACCCGCTGCGGGGGGTCTACAAGCGGCTCCGCGAGGCGATGACGATCCCGGAGACGGACGAGCCGGTCGACGCTCGGCTCGCGACGGACTGCGGCAAATTCTGGCTCGTCGTGCCGTCGTTCTTCGAGATGCTCGCGGGGTTGGCCATGACCCTGCGCAACTTCTCCCTCGTCTTCCGGACCTACGGGTCCGAGGCGGCCAAGGTCGTCCGCGCGTTGAACGCGTTCGCGGAGGGCAAGCACCCCTTCGCGCGGGGCGTCCCGTCGCTCGCGTCGGACCCGGAGGACGCGTGGACGGGCCGCTACCAGGACGACGGCAAGTACACGCTCACAAGGACCGCCGGCGTGGCGACGACGGCGCTCGACGAGACCGCGGCCGTGAAGCGTTTGGAGGACCGCGACGCCGACGGGCCGTCGGCGCACGCGGTCGTCGACGACTACGGGTGGTGGAAGAAGAACTACCACATGCCCGAGGCGGGCAAGCCGCTGTGGATCGACCTCGCGGACAAGCGGTGCCACCACGTCTTCTTCGACGACAACATCCACAACAGCGACGCGGATTCCATCGTCGCCGTCCGGGCAGGAAAAGAGTGATTCAACGTCGCTTCAATATGAGTGTTCCGCGCGCGCGCGTTCTAGAAAAAGCATCCGTTCTTCGAGACTGTTCTGAGAGATGATCGCTCGTCCAAGAATTAGCCGAAACGAGTGGAAAACGACCGAGATAGGAGCCTTTGAATTTGGGAAATTCGCACTCTTTTCCTGCCCAGGTCGCCGTCCGCGTCCGCGACCGCGAGACGGCGCCCTTCACGCCCCTGAGCGGCTTCCGCGCGCTCCACCTCCAGGGCGTCTTCCTCGTGCGCGTGCCCACCATGCTCGCGATCCTCGACGACACGTGGTTCCTCGCGCGTTTGCAAGACGCGGAGCAGAAGAAGGCGGACCTCCAGAAGGGCGGCCGCCTCGCGGTCATCTGCCGGGGGCGCCACTCGGCCCTCGACATCAAGGTCGACGCGACTAAAAAGCCACGCTGACGTCGGGGGTGGACGGGGCTTCGTAAGTGGCTGAGAGTCGCGGCGTCCCGCATGTTGACGACAACATGCACTTTGAGAAGCGCGCTCTCCATCTCCGCTCTCCCGCACCGCTGCTCGGCATCGTCGTCGATGAGGCGGCTCGTCGTCGCGTTGCTCGCGTTGCCGTCGCTCGCGTGGGTCGTCGCACCGATGAGGCGGCTCGCACCGTTGCTCGCGTTGCCGTCGCTCGCGTGGGCGAAGATCCTCGGCGCCGCCTTCCTTCCGCACGGCGACTTTGCATTCGACCCGTCGCTCGTGCGCTTCCAGAACGGCTCGTCGCAGCTCCACGACGCGGCGGTCGCCGTGGGCGCGCGCCTCGCGGCGCTCGAACCGGACATCATCCTCCTCTCGACGCCGCACGGCGAGAGCGCGGACGTGCCGTTCCTGTTCCTCGACGCGTCCGCCGCGCGCGCGAAGGCGACGATCGGCCTCGACCTCGACCGCGACTGCGCAAAGGGCTGCTACGAGGCGACGCTCCCCGTCGACGAGATCGCCATCGCCGCGAACGCCACGCGCGACGCGGTGTCGCGCCTGCGGGCCGACGGCCACCGCGTCGCCGCGCTGTCGGCCTTCGCGGACACGGAGCCCGCGCCGCTGCGGTGGGGCGAGCTCATTCCGCTGTCGTTTTTGAACGCCACGCTCAACGCCACGGCGCTCGTCGTCCTCGGCCAGCCCACGCGCCGCCAGACGGACGAGGTCGCCATGGTGCCCGAGCTCCTCGCGCTCGGCGCGGCGCTCTTCACGCACTTCGACGCACTCGAGGCGTCCGTGCTCGTCGTCGTGTCGGGCGACCTGGCGCACACGCACCTCGCGAGCGGGCCCTACGGCTACAGCGCCGCGGCCGCGCCCTTCGACGACGCGCTCGGCGCCTGGGCGCGGTCGCTCGCGGCCGCGCCGCTCCTCGACGACGCGACGGCGCTCGCCGACGACGCCAAGTCCTGCGGCTACACGGGAGCCGTCATGCTCCACGGCCTCCTCAACGCGTCGGCCGCGACCTACGCGTCGCGGCTCTTCGCCGAAGCCGCTCCGACCTACTACGGCATGATGATCGCCGACTTCCTCCCCGCGGCGGCGCAGTAGGCACCTTTTTAGACATCAGACAGGGGGGGGAAGACGGGCGGGCGACTCAAACACACAAAGATCGGTGGTATGTGCACGCGGCGTGGCGCGTCGTAAAGTTTGGTCGCAGCGCGTCGATGATTGGGTTTTGCGCGTCGATGATTTGAGTATAGCGCGTTGAGGGGTTGCGTGTTGCGCGTCGGGGATGGGTTCACAGTGTTTCGTCGTTGCGCGTCCAGGGTTGAGTTGTGCGCGTCGATGATAGGCGCGGTGTCGTTCGTACCTAGGGCGCCGCGACGTGGCTCAGTAGAAGAAATAGCCCGGCACGTCGTTGATTCGCGTGAGCTCGTCGTCCGGCATGCCGGCGTTCTGCAGGCGTTGCAAACCTACGAAGGCGCGGCTCGTGTTGTCGTGGGGAGGAGGACCGCTTTCGCGCTGGGATGCTCGCGCGTGGCCGCGAGCTTCGCGATGTAGAGCGGAACCGGCTTCCGCACGGCGCAGTTCGCCTTGGGGTAGCCTGCGGGGGAATCGCGGTCGGACGCGCCGAGATACGGGACGCGGCGGCGAGCTCCAGGTGAGCGTGTAGAGCAGTTCTTGGAGATCGCGGCGGTCGAGACGGCTGTCGTCTCTGATGACGCGCACGTCCTGTAGCGTCGACGTGCCCTGGATGGAGCGGTGCGAGAGCATCAACCAATCGACAACGCCCGGCTGGACGATGGCCGAGTCAATGATGGTGCCCGGGCGCACATTTCTCGATTTCGAATTATCACAGTCTCCGACTTCCGTCGGACCCAGCCGCGTCTTCGAGTCTTTGCAGACCACGTACGTGATTTTTGGGAGTTTGTCGAGAGGACAACCGAGCTTGCCGAGGGCGTCCTCCAGATACGGCGGCTCCACTTCAAGGTTCTCTGAAGCGCCGAAGCCGCCGCGGAGGACGATGATTTTGAAGTCGAAGCAGCGCTCGGCGTGTCGGATCTGGGACGCGCCGTCGAACTTGGCCCGAGACCCACGGTCAAGAGACGCGATTGGAGCCGCGCCGTCGGCGCGAGACCACGGCGGATCCGCGTAGCCCTCGAGGCGGCCGCCTTTGTAGATCGCGACCGACGCGGTCGGATTGGTGAAGTGAGCCAAGGACTCCCGAGTTCCATAGAACCACGCGGACGGCTGGGCTTCCTGGATGAGACGCACTGCCATCATTTGATCAGCAGATTTTTCGAAGAGCTCGAGGAAGCCGTAGACTATTTCTCCGAAGGGCCGCGTGAGCGCGCTGGCGATGTCGGCTCCAGGCTCGACGGGGGCGTGCCGTTCGATGAATTCGTCGCAGAACTCTGTTTTTGCAGCGACCATCGACACGAAGCTCGACACGTTCTGGCAGAACGCGCCGCCGCCCTGCTCGACGTGGACGCTAACGAGGAGCGTCTTCTCTTTGAGCAGCGGGTGGGCGGCAGACGATTCTGGCAGACGTTCTGGCGGGAACGCGCCGCCGCCCTGCAGGTTCGGCGCGGCGGGAAACGTGCGCTTGACGACGACGCCAAGCTTGCCGACGATATTGTTCGCGAGAGACGTGGCGAGCTTGGAAAGCTCCGCGGATCCCGCTCGCTGTTTCTGGATGGTCTCGATGCCGACGCAGCCCGTCATGACCTTGCCGCCGAAGGCCTTTTTCAGTCTATCGTAGGGCTTCGAAGGGGACATCGCCTTCGTCTTGTCCTTGATGATGATCGGCGTCACGTAGTCCGGCCGCGCACGCGCGCTCTTGGCCCCAAGGTCCCGCACAAAGTTTTCGATGTCACGAGGATTGATCATGTGGTAATCCCACTCCGGCCAGTACTTGAGACCGCGATCGCACAGCGATCGTCCAACAAGATCGAAGAATTCAGCGATTGCCTGGCGCGGGAGGAAGTGGCCGGTCACGTCGAGGACCAACCAGCGCTGCACATCGGCGTCAGTATTCTTGACGTCGAAGAACTCGTAGGCATTGTTTTGCGGGGGCAGGGCCTCGCCGTTGCGGACGTGCGTCGACGCCTTGACGTACCAAGTCTGCGGGCGGCCGTCCGCGTCCCGCCTCACGCGGTCTTTGAAGGCAACGATCGGCGGGTCGAGCACGCGGCCGCGGACGGCGAGGGGCCGGGAGAGCGCGAGGCCGACGCTCGAGAGGAGGCTCTGGTCGTCGGCGCCGACGAGGCCCGCGTCGCCGAGGAGCCGGTTCGACTCCGCGAGCTTGCACTTGGGGATCTTGCAGACGGCGGTGCGGAGGAGTTCCGCCTCGTTGGCCGAATGCTTCTGGTGCTCGACGAGCTGCAGGAGCTCCGGCGGGAAATGGATGCGCTTCCGCATCGCCTTGCCGTTCTCTTTCGCGACGTCGAACGTGGGGCGGCCGTTCTGGTCCAGGACGTCGGCGCCGTGCTCGTCGCGGCACCGGACGCGCACCGCGCCGCAGTCGACGGCGAGGAGCGGCAGCCACGGGTATTGCAGCTCGATGCCGTAGGCGATGCGGTAGTGCGCCGTCACGGTCCGCGGCTTGCCGCCCTTGTCGAAGGATTCCGAGTCGGCCGTCGCGTAGGTGCCGCTCGGGTCGAAGAGCTTCCGCGCCAGCTGGATGATCTCCGGGGGCCCCGCCCAGCGCGACCCGCGGTTCACCTCGCAGAGCTTCTTCTTGAGGAGGTCGTGGAGCTTTTTGATCTCGTCCGGCACCAGCTTCTCGGGCCGGTTGCCGCGCAGGCCGAAGAGCCCGAGCATGAGCTCCGCGACGTTGACCGACTTGATGGTGAGGCGCGCCATCAGGTCGTAGTTGACGCAGAGGCCCGCGTCGAGCCGCGACGCCGTGAGCGCGACGCCGACGCGGAGCTCGCAGCCGAGCTCGACGAGCCGCCGCGCGAGCTCGTCGTCGACTCGGCCGTACTTGTTGAGGGGCTGGACCGCGCGGGCGCCGACGAACTCGCCGCCGCCGAGCGCGTGGAAGCCGCCGCGCTCGAACTGGGCCCGGAGCGCGATGTCGATCATCGCGAGGCCCGAGCCGCGCCCGAGGCCCGCCTCCTCGAGCCAGCCCTCGAGGGGCGCGGAGCTCAGTTCGCGCAATTCTACTCAGACTCGCCGGCCGCCGGGCGCCGGCGCCGCGACGACGAAGGACCCGGCGCGCCGGCCCGGCTCCGACGCCACGATGGAGCGGACGTCGACGCTCGAGAACAACTTGCTCTCCCCGTCGTAGAGCAGCGGCAGGCCGTGGTAGCGCTTGACGCGGTCGACGCCGTTGGCGTTCTTGCGCTTGCGCGCCTCGGGCACCTTGCGCCGCGCGCGCTGCGCCGCCGCGGCGACGCCGGACTCGTGCGCCGCGGTCGAGGGCGCCGTATCCGCCGCGACGGTCAAGGGCGCCGTGTTCGCCGCGGTCGAGGGCGTCGTATTCGCGTCTCCCAGGGCGATCGGCGCCGCCTGCGACGCCGCGGGCGCGGCCGAGCCCGCCGCCGCGGGCGCCACCGCGGACGCGGGGGGCGCGTTTTCTGCCCCGGCCTCGACCACGGGCGGCGCGGTCTTCTCGCTGACGTTGCAGACGTGGTACGCGAAGATCATGGTGTCTGGAGCATGCGACACGAGGCGCCGGTGGTTCGTCGCGACGACGATGCGCTTCTCGTTGCGCGTGTCATTGTGCTGACCCACTATTTCGCAAATATCCACATCCACAACGCCGTCGTCTGCGTCTCCTTGACCGCGGCCGCGCCCCCGGCCACCACCGCCGCGTCCGCGGCCACCACCGCGGCCCTGGAAGCCCCCGGGAGCTCCGTAGCCGCCTCGCTGCTGCCAATGATTCTGCGGTCCGCCCATGCTCTCACTGCGGATTCGGACGCGAGTGACGAACTGGCATTGACGGCAGCGTCGACCTCGCACGAGCGCCGCGAGATTACGGACCCCCTACCCCAGCGCCGCGACGAGCGCCCCCTCCGCGAGGGCCCAGGCGCCAGTGGCAGCCTTGTCGTCGTAGGCGAAGGCGGCGTTGTCGTTGAGCGCCTGCGCCGGGTTCGTGAAGCCGTGCTTCGCGCCGCCGTAGACGTGGGTCTCGTAGGGCACGCCCGCGGCCGCGAGCGCGGCGACGGCGCCGTCGAGGTCCGGGACGAAGGGGTCGTCGCTCCCCGACAGGATCAGCAGCGCGCAGGAAGGCGCGTCCCTCCGGCCCGCGGCCGCGGCCTCGACGACGGCCGCGTCGAAGACGCCGTGGAACGACACGGCGGCTTTGAGGCCCTCGGGCGAGGCGGCGGCGAGCGCGGCGGCCGCGCGGCCGCCGAGGCACCAGCCGAGGCAGGCGCATTTCGAGCCGTCGACGGGCTCGAGGGCCCGGAGCGCCGTCACCGCGGCGACGGCGCGATCGAGCAGCACCGCGGGGTCCCGCAGCTCCGCGCGGGGCGCCGCGGCCCAGGCACCGTCCCAGCCGTCGCCGTTGGCGTCTCCAAATAAATCCGCGACGAGCACGCAGCAGCCGCGCGCGGCCAGAACCTCCGCCTTCCAAGATAAGAACAGGTCTCTCGGCCCCGCGGCCGTGTGGAACAACACGACGCCCGGCAGCGCGCCCTTGCGCGCCTCGAGATCCGGCGACACGAAGACCTCGCCGTGCAGTGTCGCGCCGCCGGCCGACGCGTACGCCAGTCGCCGCGGTTCCTTCGGCGGCGGCAGTTTCGCGGCCGCCAGGTGGCTCTTGAGCCGCGGGTCCTCGAGCCACCTGGCGCGCAGCAGCGCGGCCCAGGCGTCGTCGCGCGCGCGCCGCGGGTCCGCCGCCGTGCCCGCGCCGCGGCCGGCGGCCTTCGCGATCGCCGACGCGGAGCCGGGCGCGTCGCCGAAGAACCGCGTCTCCGCCGACGGCGACGACGTCCATGAGCAGCGCGGCCGTGAGGAGGCCGAAGAGCCAGCCGCGCCACCACTCGGGCAGCATGGTCTCCCAGGACACGAGCAGGCCGTCGACGTGCGCGCGGGCGGCGGACGCGAGATGCGAGGAGGTCGAGGACACCCAGTCGACGCCGCGGGCGCCGACGCCGACGGAGAAGAGGGCGAGCGCGAGGAGGAAATGCGCCGCGAGCTGGGCGGCGAAGCCCTGGGCTAGCGAGGTGAGGTCGAGCTCGCGAAGCGAGAAGAGCTCACGCGTTTTTGCGGGGCCCATGCGCTTCCTCACTGCGGCAATGGAGTGAGCCAATGTTTGACGGCAACACCAACCCCGAGTTTGTTTACACGCCGCGCTCGAAGACGTCGGCCTCGGCCTTGAGCTTGACGCCCTTGAGGAAGCCCGTCGACGTGACGACGCCGCCGCGCTGGCGCCACCAGGTCTTCGCGAGGCGCTCGATCTGGACGTCCGCGACGGACGCGTCCGCGCTGCGGTACTTGCCCACGGACCGGCGGAAGGCGCGGACGATCTCGATGGTGTTCGTCGCCGCGGACGTCGAGTAGTCGAAGCGCCGCTCGGCGAAGTCCTCGAAGGACGACTCGAAGGACTCGCGCGCGTCCGCGACGTCGCGACTCAGGGGCTGCGGCCGCCCGACCTCGTAGACGACGCCCGCGAGCGCCGCGCAGACGGCCCAGGCGCCGACGTAGGACGCGGACCCCAGCGCGGCGACGAGCGCCGCCTGCGCCGCCGCGCCGAGCGCGCCGTAGACGGCCGCGGTCGCAAACCGCAGCTCCGGCGGCGGCTCCGCGGCGTAGCCGGCCGCCCGCTCCGCGAGGAACGTGCTGTTGCGCTCCAGGAGCACCTTGCCCAGGGCGTAGGACGTCTCGCGGCCGGGCCGGATCTGCGACTCGAGGCCGAGCGGCGCGAGGAGCCAGTCGGGGCCGAGGTAGAGCGACAGCCCGAGGAGACAGGCCGTCGACGCCGCGACGACCTCCGGCGGCAGGAGCGCCGCCGCGGGCTCCGCGAGGCTCGGGAAGGCGCGCGCGACCTGTCGCCCTCGGATAGTTC